CGCTAGAGGGAGCGAGAGAGAGAGAGGGAAAGAGAGAGAGAGAGAGAGAGAGAGAGAGAGAGAGAGAGAGAGAGAGAGAGAGAGAGACGAGGGTGGAGGAGGGAGTGAGATGGAAGGAGACAAAGGGGAACGAGCCTCAAAACGGAGCGGCGAACGCGAGGCGATGAGCTCGGACCGCCTGGCCGTGTCCTTCAGCAGGCAGGAGCGCGTCAGGGACGCCTCCACGCCACGCCCGGTGGTCGCGAGAGGAAGAGGGCGAGTGTGACGAGCGAGTGCGAGCGAGACAGGGAGGTGCTTCGCTTTAATGAGCCTCTCTCACCTCCTCTCCGCGAATCCCGCGCCCATGACTGTCCGAGTCCATGACTGCGCCAAGTCCTTCTAGTGTGGAGCCCGTGTTGAGCGGAGTCTTTTGATGATGATGGCTTTACTACTGTCGCTGATTTCTAACCTCATGCGTTTTTGTTTCTGTCTGTCCACAGCCCGAGCAGCACGGTGCTCACCAGCCTGGAGCAGGTGCACGAGTACCTGCTCACCCTAGGGACCTGCAAGTGCGGCCTGGACTGCCCGCTCAGGCCCGAGTCCGTCTTCAACTTCGACCCCAAGGTGCGTAGTAACGAAGGAGAGCACAAATGCCTCTGATTGATAACGGAGTGTCCCTAGAGAGGACTCCGTGCTCTTCAAGTAAAGGTGCGGGGCGCGGGGCCACCAATCCACTTAAATCTGGAGTGGTTGGAAGGGACGGCAGACCGGGGGGTGAGGAGGCCGGCCGTCGGCGGCGTTTACGGAATCCGATTAGAAACCAAACCCCTATGATTGGGCGGCCCATTCGGCAGCCCTTCCGCCGTGGCCGGGGGCCGGGAGAGGCAGCCGAGATCTGCCCCCGTCCCCATTTGGCGAGGCGGAGGGGAAGTTTTACGGAAATCATCCCATTTCGGGGCGGGGGGCCGGGGCCCCAGCCCCGCCGCGCCACCGTGCCGACGCCGCCGCCAGCCTTTCCGTATTCTGTCGAGATGCCAGCAGAGTCCCCCGACATCTCTTCTTCCGGCTCTCGAGGAGCGGGGTGGGGCGCGTTGGCGTATGTGATAGCCTGTGGGGGCCGCGCGCCCGCCGCGCCGAGCCAGACAAAGGGGAGGGCCGTTATGCCCCTTGGAGCCCTTTATGAGGAATATGGCTTTCCGACCGAGGATGCCGCCCCTCCCCGCCCGCCCCTTCGAGCCCCGCGGAGCTTCTTTGTCGATGTCGTTGGCCTGCCTGGGCCCGGGCTGCCCGCCCCTCTGTTTGCGGGACTCACAATCGTCATTCAGCGTCTCGTCGAGCACTGCCCCCTCTCTCCCTTTCTCTCTGTCTCGCTCCCCCGTTTTTGTCGTCGTCCGTCATCGTCATCCTTTTGCCGCTGTTGTCCCGCGTCGTCGTCCCCTTCTTCTGCTTCTCGCACAACAGAAGCAGGGATGTTAGCGTGTGGGCGTGCCGGAGCCTGGCCGAGCTGCTGCTGCTCTGTTTAGTTGGCAAATAACTGCAAATGTGACTGAGGAGGAGGCGCTCGGCATTGTTCGCCTGCAGGACAGGGGCCCTCACTCGCTCCTTGTCCATCCCCTTCCTCTCTCGCTCACTCTCCTTTCTCTCTCTCGCCCTCGGCTCGGCTCTTTGTCTATCTTCTCCTCTCTCTTGTTCTCTCTCTCTCCTCTTCTCCCTGTCTCACTCCTCTCTGTCTCACTCCTCTCTGTCTCACTCCTCTCTATCTCGCTCCCTCGGGCCGGGTGCGCTGTGGCGCGCGCCGCGCGGGTCGCTCCTCTCCGCTCGGAGCGCCCGGCCGGGTAGGCCGGCTGCCCGCCAGGCCTGTGCGGCGGCCGGCCTCCTCTGGCTGGCGGGCGTTTCGCGGGGCGCTCGCCAAGCCCAGCCCAGCCAGTATTGGAGCGCGGCCAGCCCCATGCTGCGTCTGAATCGCACTTTAGTGGCCGTTTACTTTCGCGTATAGCGGAGGCCGGAGCTGCCTGCGGCGCCCCTCGACAGCAAAATCCACTGTTGCTGCTGCTGCGCCCGCTGCTGGGGCCGGCGGGACCGCGAAGCTCCCCCTCGCCCTCTTTATCCGCCAACCCGGCGCGGCGCGGAGTTTGTTTTCATCATTTTTATTTTCGAGGCCCCGCATTGCCGCCGCCGCCGCTGTAGCAGCAGCGGCTCTTTTCTCGGTGATTCGATTACTTTACGACCGGCGGTCGGGGTGCTGGTCGGGGGCGGGCGGCGCGGGGAGCTATTACGGGGGAGTGAGGCGGTTTCACTTTCCGTCGCGCGGAGCGTTGCGTGTCGGCGGCGGTGCGGCTGGACGCGGCTGGTGGTGGACG